ATCCAACTAAAGCCTATAKAACATAAATAAATACAAATAAAATATTTAATATAATTTATTTACTTTGTACTACATAATGTGAACGATTCATTTCGTTCTTAGAATACACTGAATAAACACGGATACGATTGTTCATTTTGTAATATAATTAGCTCGAAGAAAGTATTTCCATTTTTTTTATTTGTAATTATTCAATTATTAAGTAGCTCTTTATATCTTTATAACTAGGTGTTTTTACTAAGTACAATAATTTGTAATTTTAGGTTAACATTTTGTTCCCACAGTGTGGTAATAACAATTGCTTTGTAGCAAAAAAAATAAAAATGAATTGTTTCTTGTTTCTTGTTTTGTTTTTGTAGCTTTAGAATATATTTTTTATTTGTTAGGATAGGTAAATCAGCTTAAAGTTAAATTAAAATAAAAACTAAATAATAAACCAATATTGGTAACATTACTTAAAAAATTTAATTGCTTAAAGAAATCTAATTAATACAGATTGATCAAAAACTATTTCTGATGTAWTTTTTTTTTTATTGAACTTAAAAACATTAACAGCAAAGGTTATTAGTTTTTTGTTTAATACATAATGAGTGACTTCTAGAATCAAAATTATACAGTTAATTTTGTGTGATTTCCACTGACATAAATATTATGGTTATCGTTAGCAGAAGGTWTAAATTGTATTATATAGGTCGGTTTTTYTTAAGAAAGCTAACATATTTGCGATGTTTTTGAAGTGATTTTATATTTCAATATTATGTTAACTAATGTAAGAACATATTGCGATAATAATAAGAAACAGATTTATTAATTTTACATTTTTATATCGAATATTATGGATGGTCGTAAATCGTAATATTAAGTGTATTATTGTGTCATTGTGTTACCTCGRTTTTGTATTTTTTTTATTGATTGGAATATTAGGTGTGTGCGATCAAATAAGAATATAATACAGACCCAGTTCAAAAGGTAGGCAACATATACCAACTTCTAGGGTGGAACTTTAGTAAGGGGTGGCATTTTAAAAACAGTGATGATATTATTACTTTACGAGCGGCAAAATTTGAATTTTCCTAGTGCATTATTTTCGCTAATGCCGGCTCTTATAGATTACAGAAACAAAGTATGAATAAATTTCTGTTCTAAATTATATGCTTTTATGT